GACCTACAGATCGAACCCCTGCTGCCTATGGACCTACGACAGGCCTACCATCTGCCTACAAATACACAGGTCACAGGTTCAATTCCCGGGGTCTACACGGATACTGTACATGGGTAGGGTGAGGTCTAGGGATCGAACCCTGGGTACTGCATCCGCTACTGCTAAAAGGTGAAAACCGTTTCAAAGCAGAACCGCTCAAAATCTTCATGGGGGACCACACTCTAAGCCCAATTGTTTCTGAGTGACGGCTAGTGTACAAGTACCGCGAGGTAAAGGTGAAAAGAAGTGCAATGAACCCAGTCAAATAGAAAGCTCGTCAATGTCGGGAAGCAGTATGTCTCAGCGCAGATACAATGTCTCCAAAAAATTGTACAAGTAATCAAGTAGCCCAATGTCATGTCACCAGAGAAGAGGCTGATAAGAGGGAGATAAGAATTGGAGGGTGGAAGAGAAAGTGTCCATCAGCGTTGCAGATAGATCCCCCTCACAATCCCACTCCTCCTTCGGGCATCTCCAAATTCCACTTCAGCAGACAGTCTCCTCTGACAGACTCTGACAATGAACAGACCTCCACGTGGCGCCTGCACAGCGCAGACAACCTCTGCAGACGAATCAGCAATGTGCAATATCGATCGCGAACGCAGACAGGTAAGTTTTCCACAATCTCACAGCCCTGATCTTCCTCCTCCTCTCAGTGTCTCATCAATCTCGTAGACAGTGTGGCAAGAGCCACGTCAGCAAAGTCAAGTATCCAGTTGGCGCCACAGACCGAGAAGGCGCTAGCCCGAAGCTTCAGCAGTCTCACGTCGTCGTCAATGTCAAGCCAGCGTCCAGCCAGCCTCCAGCCAGCGTCAAGCAGCAAGTGCAAGACTGAATGTCGGTCAGTAGGGGCTGAGTCAATATGTAGTGTTGACTCCAGTTGACCAACCTCTGGTCTCTCAGGTACGATGGCCCAGATTGTCTTGCAGCCAATGGCCTGGATCTTTACAGTTACAGATTCCCACTTGGACTTGACCCTTGACAGATACCTGCAAACAGCCAAGTGTGTGTGTTTGATTGGCGGGGCCTGGACTGGGTCCATGTTGACATTGACTCGTGAGCCTGAATTTCCGTGCTGCTGTTGACCTTTGACTTTCCATGGTCAACTGTTGCACGTTGGGCCACTCAAGGCCGGCTTAGGCCTTGCTTTGGGTACCCCACAATAGCCGGCCTTGGCCTTCGTTCAGGCTGTGTTCATGACTGGGGTGTGGCCGTTTGACCCCTATCTCGGCCTTAGGCCAAAATGACGACCCGTAGCCCACGACAGATGCATGATTTGAGCTGAGTTATTGCAGAAGGTGCAAGATGAGCTAAATACATGATGCCTCCCATGGACAAGATAGTCCAAGCAAAACCACTCAGAATCTTCACTTTATTCTTAACTATTATTTTTTTTTTAAATGTCATTTATTCCATTCATTTTATTCATTCTAATAATGAGTTTAATGAGAATCTTGCAGGTGTTCTCCTTTTCTTTGTTTTCTTTTTTTATTATTTTGGTACCACACTGATGACATACGGAAGACTTGGCTTACCTCTGGTCACTCCACCTCTGGTCATTCATTTGTCGTCTGTTGTGGTTTGCCTGCAGGATATCACACATTGTACGAATGGTACCAGTCCAAGCAGAAAGAACATTTTCCAGATCCTACAAGGTTGCGCTCACGCATGGAGGTGTGGACATTCGGCTTGTACCCAGCATGCTTCAAGTACTTGATGTCGGCATTTGACGTTCCTGAGGTAAGACTTCATTCTGTGAACGCTGTGAACGCAGAGAAGGAAGGCAGAAGAGGAATGGAGAAAGAGAGGACTAGAGAAGGCCACAAAGCTTTCAGGCAGAGGGAAGGAAGGCAGAAGAGGAATGGAGAAAGAGAGGACTAGAGAAGGCCACAAAGCCCTCAGGCAGAGTACTAAGCTGCACTTTTATACGTCTGATATGGTGTTTCTCATTCTCCAACTGACCTTGCCAGGGGCTTCAGTAGAGAGAGTATGGGGAGATGCGGAGGTAGAGGAGGAGGAGGAAGAGGTGAAGGAGAAAGGTTGAGGAAGAGATGGAGGAGGGAGAGGAAGTAGAGGAGGAGGAGGAGAAGGAGATGGAGGAGGAGGAGGTAGACGAGGAGGAGGAGGAGGGGAGACAGATGCATTGAAAGGTCCCTTTTTGCATCTGCACGGAGAGAACCTCAGAATGACAGACTGGATTTATGGAACTGAAAAGCAAAGGAAAGCATTGTGCTGTGCAGATCAAGCAACCATGGAATTGTAGGCAGTGATATGGAGTGGCGGCTAAATAGCACCCGTGAATAGTACACAGCTCTACACGGCTGCACATATTACATTCAGATCTAGAGAGCTGCTGAATATTTACTTAATACACAAGTTTACAGAGCCATCGATTAGTACATTGCTATGCAGGACTATGGAACATGCACTTCCCTTCAATGTGATGCACCCGCGTGGGGGCATCACATGCACATTGGGGCTTTGCTCGGGTGGATAATGTGTCCGACCAACCCCGAACGTGCATCTACCGAGTCCCAACCCTGCTACACTAGCCTGGGGGACAAGTACGTGAGGTGGCAACCTATCGCAAACTGGATGTTGCTCCGGAGTGGATGAGGGGTCGAACCCGCACAAATGCTGAGAAGTGCAGAGCTATACAATGCTGTGGTGTCATGCACCCACCTACACAGAGCTGCTGGATTACTCACACCTATACAGAGCCACAGGATAGTAAACAGCAATTCAATCTAACTCAAAAGTCTGAATCCGATTTTGATGCCGGACTGAAAGCTTAGAATGTCGCGCAAAAAGAAGTGAAAGGAAATGTGATCAACGATGTGGATCACACTTCTGCGTCCGTCTGAATGCAATCAACGGTGAGTAGTTGACTCAGTTCTGATTCCTCTGCATGGAATTAAACCACCAGTACCTTTCCCAGCTATTTTGTTCCGACGCAGCCATGAACTTGTGCACCGTGTCTTTCGGGGCTCGGCCCACCGACCTAAGTTAATGGCTGGCAGCGCCAGGCAGAGAAAGACAAAAGAGCGACACGCCTGCGCCCGTTCGTTTTCATTGGCGCGCAGTAAAGGTCCGCGTTGGGAAAAAAAAAAACAGGCTCGGGAGGTGCTGGTGGTTTCACGGAGTGGAGTTGACGGATCTGATTCTTCTGGAATGCAAGCAACAGTGTGCAGTTACAGTTACCGATTCTTCTAAATGGCAATTAAATACCAGCACCACTATCACTGGAAGGAAGTTTCAAAAAAAAAAAAAAAACCTTTAGTACCAGCTTTTCTTTTTTGTTTCAATGAAGCCGTGAACGCGTTACATCTTTCGGGGCTTGTTGTCCCACTGGACCTAGATGGCTAGCGGCAGTAGGGAAAACAAAGAAAAGAGATGTGCCCGCCGGTTTGCTTTTTATTGGCGCGAACCACGCAGCAGAAATCTGCATTGGGCAAAAGAGGCTGAGACGTACCGTTGATTTCGCGGTATCGGGTTCTTCTGAATACAATCAATGGTGCACAGCTCAGTTTTTATTCTTCTGAAAGCAATCAACGGTGTGGAGTTCACATCTGAATGCGATCGACGGTGTGGGGTTCGCTTTGACCTTTAATTCTCCAATCTCTCCTTGATGCAATCAAAAAATGAACAGTGTGGACCTCGGTTCTCAAAATATGATCAATGGTTTTTCGGTCTAGT